TTTGAAAATAATATTTCTAAATTAGACCCGAGTTCCAAACCCTTTTGGAAACTCACAAAAATTTTGAAAAAACCTCAAAAGCCTATTCCAGCGCTTAAAGAAGGTGGTAAAATTTTGATCACAAATTTGGAAAAAGCTCAGAAACTTGCTAAGCAATTCGAGAGTTCCCATAATTTCAGTTTGGGTCTTACTAGTCCTATTGAGAATCAGGTTGCTCGGGATTTTCTGAATATTTTCTCTCGGGAAAATATTTTTGATGATTCCTGGGGGACTGATTTGGATGAAGTAAGGTCTATAACTAAAAATTTTCAAAATATGAAAGCTCCAGGTGATGATGGAATTTTCTATATCCTCATCAAAAAACTCCCAGAGAGTACCTTGTCTTTCTTGGTAAAATTATTTAACAGATGTTTCCATTTGGCATACTTTCCTGATAAATGGAAAAATGCAAAAGTTGTTCCAATTTTGAAGCCGGATAAAAATCCAGCTGAAGCTTCTAGCTACCGTCCAATAAGTTTGCTTTCTTCAATAAGTAAACTTTTTGAAAAGATAATTTTGAATAGAATGATGCTTCACATCAATACGAACTCAATTTTTGCAGATGAGCAGTTTGGATTTCGCCATGGGCATTCAACTACTCATCAACTCTTGAGAGTTACCAATTTAATTCGTTCAAACAAATCTGAAGGCCACTCAACTGGAGTTGCTCTTCTAGACATAGAAAAAGCATTCGACAGTGTTTGGCATGAAGGTTTGATTGCTAAATTGAAAAAGTTTAATTTTCCACTTTATATTATGAAATTAGTTCAAAATTATTTAACTGACAGAACTCTGCAGGTAAATTATCAAAATTCCAAATCTAATCGACTACCTGTTAGAGCAGGAGTTCCTAAGGGTAGCATTCTTGGGCCTATATTGTATAACATTTTCACTTCGGACCTCCCTGATTTGCCTCAGGCTTGCCACAAATCTTTGTTCGCTGATGACACAGGCATTTCCGCTAAAGGAAGAAGTCTTCGTGTTATTTGCAGCAGACTGCAGAAAAGTTTAGATATTTTCTCTTCTTATTTACAAAAATGGAAGATTTCTCCCAACGCTTCCAAAACTCAACTTATAATATTTCCACATAAGCCTAGGGCTTCCTTTTTGAAACCTAGTAGTAGTCACATAGTCACTATGAACGGAGTTCCAATTTCCTGGTCAAACCAAGTGAAATATCTTGGATTAATACTTGACCAAAAATTAACTTTTAAAGATCACATTGAGGGCATTCAAGCCAAATGTAACAAATATATAAAATGTTTGTATCCTCTTATAAACAGGAAATCCAAACTTTGCCTGACGAATAAACTTCTAATATATAAACAAGTTTTTAGACCGGTCATGCTTTACGCTGTGCCAATATGGTCTAGTTGCTGCACTACCAGGAAAAAAGCACGTCAAAGGATTCAGAACAAAATTCTGAAAATGATTTTGAAGTTGCCTCCCTGGTACAGTACAACCGAAGTACATAGAATTTCGAATGTTGAGACTTTAGCACAAATGTCCAACACAATAATTAATAATTTCAGGCAAAAATCGTTGCAATCCTCAATTGCAACGATTAATTCCCTTTATACTTAGATAAGATTTAGTTTTAGTTTTTAGTTTTAAGATATCAATTGTTATACTGACATGCAGGTTAAAAAACCTGTTTAAAATACTGAATTGCCAAGACATGAACAATGTAAAAACACTTAGATATATATCTTAACAATTTAGGCTGGTACGTTACTGCAGTAACTGGAGCACCTAGGTTAAAATGAAATGTAATTTATTTTGAATTTGGAACACATAAAGAGTTAAAAAAAAAAAAAAAAAAAAAGTTCTTGAGATATGACTAGATGAGTGAGTTTTGAGCTTTTCTGGTGGAAAATCAATGCTATTTAATATTTTTTATTTTTTCACGCCGATGGCACAATAATATTTTTATGTTATTTTTCACATGTTCTGGGTAGAATTCTCATCATATAAAATCATAACTAGCTCAATTATTTACTTCTGTCGATAATTTAATTGTGGTCCTAAAAGTGAAAAATACGTTCCTTTGGGATACAGCCAAAACGTTGTGCTTTAGACGTACGATGAAATCAGATAGATTAACAGGTACATATATAAAATTTCAGCTGTGGATGACAGCTGCTGCTTGAATAATACACATTAATTTATTTTATTAGATACAATCTCACGAACAAGAATGCTTTTTTTTTATTATAAACAAAAAATAAACGTTGAACCTTTATTTTGAATTTTTTCAAAACACACTTTCCATTCATGAACGTAACTGTCATGTTCTTCTTCTACGCATTTGAAGCTACGCACAGGAAACAGTTTCAGACTTATATTTATGTCTATGTATTAGTATACATTTTTAGGCTTGCACGCATACAAGTGGACGAACCAAACTGATTTTGAACTATGGTTTTGCTGACGATACATGACAGTTACGTTAACAGTTAACTCATGCATTTATGTTGGCATCGAAAGCTCTCGATTAATAACTATGGAAGTGCATCTAGAACACTAAGTTGAGAGGATGCAATAAACTTATATGTGATGAACAATAAGCTTCAAATTCTTAGAAGAAGAACAGTTACGTTCATGATTGGAAAGTGTGTTTTCAACAAATTAAAAATAAAAGTTCAACGTTTACTTTTCTTTATAACTATAATAAAAAAAAAAAACATTTTTGCTCGGGAGATTGTTTCTAAAAAATGCTCAAATAAAGGTTTTATTCAAGTAGCAGCTGTCATCTACAATTGAAATTTTATATAGGTACCTGCTAATCTCTCTGATTTCATCGTACTTCTAAAGCACAACCTTTTGGCTGTATCCCATAGGAACTTACTTTTCACTTGTAGGACCACAATAAAATTATGGACATAAGTATATAAATGAGCTAGTTATGATTTTATATCATGAGAATTATGCCCAGAACATGTGAAAAATAACATAAAAATATTATTGTTTCATCGGCGTGAAGGAATTCAAGAAAAAAAAAATTAAATATCATTGATTTTCCACCAGAAAAGCTAAAAACTACAACTCACTCATCTGGTCATATCTTAAAAGCTATTTGTCAAAATCATTTGTCCTTGAAAACACATCAAGTAGAAGAGTTTTCCAAAGTGTGGTGAAAATTTGAGCCCAAAATATTAAGAAACAAAAAAAAAATCCGCCCATGTTGAAAATAAGATTTTTTTTTACAATTTTGATACCTGCCTGTTAACTGCAGTTACTATAACAAAAACAAAATGTGCGTACACCTATCAGAATCTACATTAAAAAACCTTCAAATGGACGATCTAAGATCACGAATAGCTTATTTGGTTGTGGAGTAATCTCTTCTGAAACACATTTTTTTAAATCTCGGAAATCCAGGGTTGTAGCCGAGAGGGATCTAGGCACTTCAGAGCAAAATGAAAAAAAAGGCATTTGTTCAGAATGCCAAAATAAGCGTTTTGGCCAAGTTTGGCTCAAATCGGTGACATTGACCACAGGTGGTGTACTGATACTGATGACTTTCTGAACCTGGATCATCTGTTTTGACCACTCAAAGTTGTAAATGCCTCGTAAAAGCCTCTCACAGAATAAGATTCCTCGTTTTCAACTGCTTTAAGATCAAATTTTCCTGCATTTTTCCTGAAACGCTCCAAAATAGATAGAATTGAGTTCACTGAATTTACTCAACAACATAATATCAATCTCAACTGCAACGAATTCCAGCGAAAAACAACAACAGTGACACCCTTTCATTTGTGATAACGGTTTTTTTTTCGGTAAAAAAATACTACCGCGGGTGTGAAATTGCTTCCCCACCCAAGATGCCTACCGATTTAGACTGGCATTGGGCGTCGGGGGCACCATTTCTACCAATGCGGATCAGCATATTAATTTGTATCACATTGGAACAGTTATTCCTCCGCTTAGAACGCCGATCACGATTCTGGTAGCGTCATTCTCCACGGGTTGGCCTGATGGCGGTGGCATACCGAAACACCTTTCTCCGCGAGTGTTGCTGTTACTGTGACGAAGACCAAGACCAAACCCAGAAGACGGCGTGACCCATAGCATTTTCGATATTGGAAGTGTTGCGCGAAAGTCCTCGCAGGCAAAGTCCAAGCGGGGGGAGGTGGGATCAGGTACTAATTTACCTATTTTCTTCGCTTCATCAGACACCCAACCCGCGGCTGTCAGACGAGACGAGTGTGGGGGATTTTCTCTAAATCGCGGTTAGAGGTGAGATCACGACAGAATCAGCACGCCCTCCCCGTTCTGCTAAGTACAATTTTCAACGGATTTTTTCCCGCTCGGGAGTTGAACGACGGCGGGCAAGAATGCTCTATGCTAATGATGGGATGATGATGATGTAGCCGCCGTGTTGGTCTGTTTTTGTTGTTATTGTGGGAGGAGGAGGAGGTTTCGGTTATTTACTGGTGCTAATGCTACTTGTTTTGCTGCTCGGAGCGTGTATTATTGCTGATAGTGCTCTGGCCAAGCTCTCAGCCAGTGTTACAATGAGGTACAATTCGTAACGGGACCTCGGACAGCCAACGACGGGCGCTGAAGGTTGTGTTCCAATAAATTATTTTGTTATTCTTCTTGGCCTTATGGAATCTAGTGAGGTCATGATCGCGGTGAAAGAAGGGAAGAGGGTGCCTTAGAACAAATACGAATGCTTTGGACAAGGGTTAATAATGTATCTTCGTTGCTGGGGGAATGTTGCGGTTCGAATGCAAAAGGCTTTCTTTTCTGCAAGCCACGTTTCATGGGAAGAATGCATCTGAGTGGCCACAGATGCTATGCGCGGACATTTCCCTGCCGGAGATGATGATGACGGTGATGGTTGATCGTTCACATGCGATAAACGCGAGGGAGAGAACCAATGCTCTTGGATCACCCATTGAAGTTGCGGGCAGTGAGCAGTGATTGTTCTACGTCGGGACGCTAGTTATGCTTACCTGGAACTTGACAATTGCAACCTCCAAAGCCATCATTACAATGGCATAGGCCTTCTAGACACACTCCGTTCGAGCATGCCGTGCCATCTTTATCACAATCATCTGAAATCGAGCGGAGGAAAATAAGGAAGTGATTAGTGACTTTGAGCTTTTTCACGGTCTGTCTTGCAGCTTCTCGATGCGATACTTACTTGTACATTTTAACTTATTTCTAAGCTCATCGGAGCCCATGTAGCAATCCGATGTGCCATCACACAGTTTGGACAGCTCGTACAGCTGCAGATAGTCTGTGGATTCGTTGACCTGGCAACCGAAGTAGCCATCCTCGAGGTTCAGAAAAAACACTTCGTGCTTTAGTCCGAATATGCCGACGTTCTTTCGGGACGCCGAGTACTGCGCACTCGTCTGAAAATGGGAACAAATTAACGGGGAGAATTGCATTAGTCGAATCTTGTTCGCATGTATCTTCGTGGAATGGAGTTTATGTTTGAGATGTAATCAAGGATTGATTGAGCTATTAAAATGTCATTAAACGTCGTTCCTTTCTAATACATATCAGTGTGGATGGAAGTGAGAAACGTTTTATTATTAGATTATGATGTTGTTTTGTTCATCCCTCTGAGAGTAACATCCGGGTGGATCGGCTACCTCGCCCTCCCACCAGATCTTGTCACTGGACGGTGAGGAACATTTTAAGAATTATCCAAGTTATGTAGCATACAATTCAAGAAAATTTACAGGCTTTCATCAATTAAATGACGCATGAAGACCAATTGATGGTCTGGACAACAATGAATTCGCTCTCACACAAAAAAATCATCATCAAAAGAATAATGGCTCAGCGATGTTACTCTACGGATTTTTGCACACACAAAAAGTGGACACCCTCTTTTTGCTCTGTCAATAATAAGAATAACGCACAGTGGTTTGCCTATAGGCCAATAATCAAACATTTTAAATCAAGAAAATCACGTTTCTTGCTCGGCATTATGTTTGTTTTATTAATATTATGGTGACTTTTAGCCACTTCTGGGATAGTTCATCACCATCGTTTTTATATGGTGCAATACATAATGTTTCCAATTTTAAAGAGATTTTTTTCGAAATCAGGTAGTATATGTGAGTGTGTTGGCCCGAGTAAAGGATTATATCAGATTATAAAAAAAAATCTGATACCCGGTTATCAAGATTTGATAACCGAACATGTTATCATTGTGGTTGAATAAACAGCCAACATAACAAATATTATAACAAAAGAATACTCCTTAGATATCACAAAAATAGCTGATTTAGTTATCATTGAAAACATTATTATTATTATTTAGCTTTATTTAGGAGGCTTTCAGCCTTAGGCTGGTTCGCCTCCAAAGTCATTGAAAACATCTTGATAACAAATCTTATTAAAATTTCAAATTATTTCATCGATTTGGTATAACAGCCTTACGCTGATACATGAAATATGATTGGCAGTGCTTTTGTTTCCTACCATGTGGATAATATTGGAAGTTTTGATCTAACCTTCATCATTTTTTTTATGTTAACAACTGATAACAAAATTAGTCGAGGTTGATAACTAAATTAGATGTGTGCTAACAACTGGAAACAAAATGATAACTGGAATAACAAAACTTGTTTTCAGGATGATATCAGGTTGTTATTTTACTTTGCCCGGGGGGTGGTTCGAATTTGGTAAATCTAATGAACACTTCTTTGTCAGTTATCATATTTTGATGTGTTTCATCTGTACAATTTTGTACATATATACAGGGGAATTGTGCTCGAGGAAAAATAACATGTTACTAACAGATTTAGCAGGAAATATTGACCAAATTATTGACGGTTTATTGAATTCAGCCCAAAAGTATGCCCTTCTGCGATTACGAATATATTTTGTTGCCTCATGAGCAATCTAGATTAACTAAAAACCTCACGCTTGCGAATCAATCTCCACAACTCCAAAGATTAAAACGCTAACTTAAAGTGTTCAATTGGTGTTGTACCTTTTAATTTGTTGTTCACTTTAATTTGAAATTGATAACTCAGTGTAACGACCCCTCAAGTATTGTATACACTTAAAACTGATACATGATCTACTTAAAAAAAAAAAAATTAAAATGAAATTTTAAAACTCTCTATTGGTTGGAATTTAGGCGAATTTTGGAATTTACGGAGGTTTCGGAATGCACGTGGGGTTCTTACGCGGATTTCGGAATTTACAAGGTTTTTTACACGTTTTTTTTACGCTGCACTTATCTCATGCGTAAAAAGTGACTCCAGTGTATTTTTAATCGAAAATCATTTATAACATTTCAACAACAAGATATAGCAAGTTGGCAAAAATAAACGCCATCAAAAGTTCTGAATGTTCTTAAAATAAATCATTGACGAGAAATCATTATTTAATTATTTAAAAAGTTTAATTTTATATAATCAATTTTTTAGGGGCCACCCTAGGATACTTTTTGCAAATCAGTATAAAACGTGAAATATTAGAGATAGACAATTGATTTCTTGGGCAAAGTTACTTCAAATAAATTGTTCTACAATTTTGTTGGACATTTTACCGATTTATCTCTAATAACTAGAAAGTATATATTTAGAATTCCGTAACCATAGTGACCATATTTACTTCACTCATCATCCCACTATGCACAACCCACGATTTACATCGATTTTTCGAACGGATATGAACGAAAAATTGAATGTTTCTATTGAAGATGATTTATTTCTTTATATGTAGGGGAGATCAGCACATAACGCACTTTTTCATTTTATTTTGAGTTTTTCTTGGAGTTTTTAATCCAATTCTAGGATTTATCATGCCGAATTTTGAGTTCAGATGCTATGCTAGAAGTGCTGCTTGATAAGACAACAAAAAAGTTACGTAAAAGCCATGAAAAACACAAATGAAAGTCAGCTGGTGCGTTTTGCCCAGGGAGTGCGTTGTATACCATTCTCCCCCCGTTGGATTTGATAAAGAATCAGAGAATGGTAATATTTTGTTTATAATATATCGCTGCTTCTTGATACCAAATTCGTCCTATGAGTTTTAATTCCGTCCAAACGCATTGAAACGCCGATGGATTTTCTTCGTCATACGGATGAAGGCAGAACAATGGATTTGCTAGGAGGGCTCCTTTTGTTTATGAGAACAATGGGTGTGAAAATTCATACTAGGCGCTCCAATACATAGCTAAATAAAATTGTAATATTCATACTGGCGACAACGCTCTGATGAGACTTTGTGAAATTTCTGTGTACAACGCAATATTACACAACCGATGGAATAGCCTGTGTGCAGCAATTTCAATGTAATATTGGACAAATGTATTATTGATTGGTGCACGGTGAAATCATTGATACTACAGCCAACTTTCGCTCGTTGGGTTAACCCTGTAGCCCACTTAGTGAAAGACTTTCGCCAGTTGGGCTGAGCTGTCAAGCTAAAAATTGGTTGAGGTATACACCGATTGTTTATTATCATCACAATCCTTTAGCAACTATCCACATTGCTCATATATGAGCCTCTCGAAAAAGAAATAGCACTGCCAAAAATGACGTTTGACTTCGATTTATGTGGGCTACAGCCTGAAACGTAGCCCACCTAAACATTGCCCAACGAGCGAAATTCGACTGTACTTATTCATGTTTTCTACTCGATAGAACAGAAATAGGCAATTACGACGAAGTAGCGCTCGGTCGTGTTCCATAAATTTTTGCCAGTTTGTTTTTTTTTCTCCTCTTTTAGGGGAGTAAATCCACTGCGATCATTAATTAAATCTATTGTGGTTTCAGTCTCAGAACATCTCGGCGGCGCCGACTGGGATTGAACCCAGGCCTGCTGGGGTGAGAGGCAATCACGCTTACCACTACACCACCGGCGCCGCTTGTGGTATTGCTCCATCACTATTTAGAAATGCAGAAGAATTCGGATATACAGTTGTCATTCTTGCCTTTGCCTATTTGAACCCTTTAAAGATGCGCCCCTTTGTCATTAAAAATCGGATTCCTTGGCGACAAAATCATGAAAAGACACCGATATTGACCAAGTGTCAGATCTTTAGTCTCAACCACTTCAAACTATAGAACAACGATTTTAATATCAAGAGTCGCAAAAAGACTAACCTATTTTGTTTCTGACAATAATGACTACACAAGAACGCAATTGACCTTGTTTTGTTGGTTTTGAACTAATGTATCGTACCAAACGTAGTAATGATTCGTTTACGTGATAATCATAGATATGTTGTCTGATCGATAGGCCAAAAAGAGGCGTTTTGGATCAATTGAACAATTTATGTTTTAACCTGTTTGGATGCATTATCTCAAATTTGGCAACATGCCAAAATTACCAGATCGCAAACGGATCTATGAACCATTCCAATGCAACAATTTTTTTACGAGGGTTCTGTAGACCATAGTTTAGACTTGTAGAATGCTTCAAAACCTTGATAAAACTTGCAATGTTGCTTGGGTTTAGACAGCTGTGGTGGTTGAGTGGCAAGAGGAATTTAATAAAGCTAAGAATTTTACCAATTTTACCATCTCATGGTAATGCTGATTTATAATTCTTTAACTCATGACAATTCCTTTCAAATTAGGCAGTTTTCGGTCAAACAGCGTTTGGCCAAATGACATTCAGCAAAATGACCGATTCGGTCAAATTTATTTCAGCCAAATGGCATTCAGCTAAATGAACCGGAACACAACCAACCTTCATCAGGTTCCCAACAACTTTCCCGAGGAATCGGAGATTTCAGCTGACGCACTGTCGGCGTATGTAAAATCATTAAAGATCGTTGTCCCAGGTTTTGACAACATCTTGAATCTAGAAATCAGTCAGTGTTCCCCTCGTGCTGGAAGTCAGCCCATCCGGAAACCTGCCAAGGATCCTTCCTTTTTTACCAGAAATCACCCTTCTCTCAGGCTCTCCCTTAGTTCAGATGGTAAAAGCGCAGACATAAAGCAAGACCATGCTGGAGGTGACTGGGTTCGATTCCCTGTCCGGTCTAGGAATTTTTCTGTATGGAAAATGTCTTAACTTCCCTGGGCATAGAGTATGACTATACTTGCCACACAATTATGTATACTAATGCAAAAATGCTACAGCCATCAAAAGCTCTCAATTGGTATTGTGGAATTGTGGAAGGGCATCTAGAATACTAAGTTGAGAGCACGTAATGAGTTAATGTACGATAGTAAATAAGCTTGAAATGTGTAGAAAAAGATCAAGAAGAAGAAGAAGAAGAAGAAGAAGAAGAAGAAGAAGAAGAAGAAGAAGAAGAAGAAGAATAAAAAGAACCCCTTCTCGCAAGGTTATAAAAGCTTTTTGAAAAAAACAGTAATCGGTTACTTCTAACATTCATCCGATGAAAACAACAACTTACTCAAGGGGCAGTTTAGTT